CATATTTTAACAGCTTATTTTGTGTTACTATACCTTAACTTCTTAAAATTTAAAAAGTTAAAATGTATTGATATATATCTGACAAATCTGATTTACTTATTATTATATTCTTACAATTTTATTAATTCAAAAAAAATAGCAACAGAACAGTTTTGATAGCAGCTATAATACATATTTACATGTTACTGCCAAAGAATTTCATACTTATCCAAGATAATTGAGGTTAATCATCATAACTATATAAACAGGATTAAGAAATTAAATACTGTAATTATTTCACTCTCTCCTTTAAAATAAGGTCTAACATAGAAAAAGTAACATTATACAGATATAACATCTACTGATACCCGATGCTTAGCAAATAGACACCCACAACTGCCGTAATTAATTGGGCTATAATTTGGAAATATTAATTATGAATTACAAAATTATAATTATTAAATTTAATACAAAATAGCACCTAACACTTCCCTCTAGTGCCAAATTTATTTGTAATTCATAATTAATATTTCCAAATTATAACTCGATTATTTACGGCAATCATAGGTGTATAAAAATAACATTTTTTATTGCCTAAAAGATTTATTAAGATAACTTTAAAAAATCAGTGAAGTGGTTGTCTTGATAATGATTAATGAGAAATAAAAATAGTTAAAAGTTAACATATCTCTTTTATTTTTATTCTCTGATCAATCTTAGTTAAAATCTAAGATATTTATTTTATATACTTTGCAAAGAATCACCTTTCATTTATATGAACATTGCTTTCTCCTCTATTACCTACCAAAATTTTGATATTTATTTATAAGAAAAGTATTATTGTGTAATACTACACACCATATTCATATTTTTAAGTTAGTTAATTGATACTGATCTTAAAATTCAAATACTTTGTAGGTCACATTTACTTATAGTATGGCACTAATACATTATGAAACTTTTAATTTAAAAAATATAAAAATGCAAATTTGTATCTTTACTTTAAATTTGTATGTTATCTTTTAAAGCCAAACTGCTATTTTATATGTAGCCTTAAAAACATTCAATAATAACTATAATAAGTAACTATTAAAAATATCAAAATATGCTTCAGTGTCAATTTTTTAAAATTTTAATACAGGTAACCCCATGGAAGTTACGTTCCAAAAAACTGCCATGTTATGCAAACCCGTGTTATACAAAACAAAGAATTAGTGCAAAAAGGGGATTAGGTTCCAAAAATTAAAAAACATGCTGTTAAATCCTTATTTAAATTGAATTTATTATTCATTTTTTTCATAGGTAAAATACTTATTTATTATTTAAGTAAATATTTTACCAGAGGATTATTCATCCTACATGATGATCTCAGCATGAGCATCATCAACTGATAACAGTTTTTGGGTGCATTCGTTAATAGCGGTCACTCTGCAATGGGAGTGCACTGCTGTTTATAGGCATTTAGAAATAATGGCGAAAGAAAGATGGCGGCACCTGCACTATCGATAGTATCATGATGGAGGAATCTATAATTCCAAAATGATCTTTAGAGGCAAAAGAAGGGTCGCAATTGTAAAATTTAACCATTAAATGGATTATTGTTGAAAGAGCATTCAAAGTAGCCATGAAAACAATTAGAATGCTCGCGCAGAGTTACGCAGAAGTATAAAAGAATGCACCCTTTATTATATTTCATGTTGTACGAGGGTTTTACCCAATTCCCAAACCATGTTAGAGTGAACTCGTGCTATAAAACCACAGTGTTATACGGGGGATGTTCCCAGTTCTCGAACTGTGTTAGAGTGAATCTGTGCTATAGAAGTTCTGTTTTATACGGGGTTACCTGTACAAACTAAATTATCAAAAACTGAAAGATACGTAAATGAAAAATTTATTTTGTTTTATTTTGAATATTTAAATCTATTTTTTAAAGTTAAAACATAGCAGTGATAATTTTTAAGGAAATAAAACTGAAAAAATACTTGGAATAAAATGTCCTTCAGAGAAAATATAGCAAATATTTTAAATAAAATCAATACAATGATTCTTTGTACAATTTCATGAATATTTGTTACTAACTCATGATATAATTTTCATCTTTTCATTATTACTATTACTGCTTTTTATTTGACTTTTACAATTTATTTTCATCATTGTTTCAGTTACTTCTTTTTACTGAACTACTGCTTTTTATGCATTTAGACATTATAATACAGATTTCTCTTATGAAAGAATTGTTTACAATTAATTTATTTAAGACTGACCTTACTTCCAAAGTACAATTATCCCATATTTAGTCTGTCACTTTTCTACTCCGAAACTACATTAAGTCACTGTTGCTCATCTACTGGCCATAAGCCATTCAGATGTTTAGCTTTCACATTGGTAATAATTGTATGACAAAACAAAATTCCTTAACAGAATCATTTTAAGAATTTAAGCTCCAAGGTTACTGTTTAATTCTCAAATAGGAATTATTAAATCATTCATATGCACAGCCTCATCCTGTGACATTATTTTTTCATCACTGAATGTCTATTGTGTTATATTGTTTCTATATGTGGCATACAGAATCTAAATATCTTGAAGTAAACACTTTGCTAATATGTAATATGCAAACTGCTGACTTATCTTATCAGTCTAGACATTGTGTATGATAGAATGGAGTAACATTAAAAGTTGAAGAAATTTTCTCATGGAGGCACAGGTTACCAATCCCTGCTCTAGATTATCTGAACTATATGAAGAAAATGTCATCCATATAAAAGTCTAGTACCATTTAAATTCTGTATCCAGTAAACGGAATAGGTAAATTTTCTAAAAGTGAAGAGAACAATACATACAACTACCCCAAGTAATAATTTGGAATAAATTTGACTGCAGAGCATATCATTGGGCTGCAATTTGAAAAAATTGTAGACCTATAAATTCTCACTTGTCTATCCATCTATCTGTCTTTCCTTAATCTCAAGAACAGAGTTATATAGATGAAAGACAAGACAGAAATGGAAACCTTAGGGGCAGGAAGTCCCAATTAACTATACAAGAACTTCTGATGCAAACTAGAAGTCACATTATTTCAATTCAAATCTCTTCCCCTAAAAGCAGTTAATAGATGACCAGCACAATTCTATTGTTAAATGAAAAGTATGATGTACAGGGGCAAACCACTACTAATAATTTGAGATGGAAAGCATATATTTTAAATTAAATAAATTAAAAATTTCAGCCCAGCATTGTGACAACATCACAATAAATAATTGTTCATTCCCTTTTCCCTCCTTTTGGCTAGTAACCTTCAAAGTGGACAGGTCATAAACCAATTTGTGATGACTTAATGACTCATTCACAGGTATTTTTGGCATCTGTTTCCCGATTAATGTGATCTCAGATAATCAAGAGTCTACTGTGAATAATTTTACACATACACAACATAATATAATAAGATATACTATATAAACTATAAATAATATTACAGTTTCCAAAATTAAAAATCAGCATAAATTTAATTAAAAGATAGCAATACAAATTTAAACAGCATAAATACATTTGTTTATTGATAATAAATCCTATAAATTCGAATTATTTCTGGCATTTTCTGTTTTGAAGACTAAGATATTTTTATATCTAAATGAAAACTTATAAATAATATAATTGTTTGAACTTGCAAATAAATATACCTAATTATATATGGCTGATCACAATTAATCATATGTAAATTATTTAAAACAAAATATAATTTACATTATATAAAATTGAAGGGAATAACATTATTAAATTTTACATATAAAAGTATAAATATCAGGGCTGTGGAGTCGCGTAAAAATCTACCGACTCCAACTCCAACTCCGACTGTTTTTTACCATCCGACTCCGACTCCGACTAGGGGCAGACTTGTTACCGAAAGAGACCCGGAAATTCTGATGTCATCACGTGACATCAGAATAAATTATTCAATAAATAGAGTTGTAATAAAGATAGAGCGTAGAAACTTTTTATTCCAAAGCTAAAAGACTTCTCTAAGTAATATATAAATATTTATTCGATAGTTTTTACTTTTCCGGCTGTTATAGGCCTGTATAACAGAGGAAAAGTGTAGCGCTCGGTCAAAAAATGACCCCTCCCAAATTTTTACATTTTTGGACTCGGGACACCTTGAAATTTTGAGATATGCAAAAGATTCGAGGTTTTTTCTATATGTGTGGATGTTAGACTGTGTGCGGGGGGCATGATTTCGTTCACCCTGTTTGAAGCCTAATAATTTCTGTGGTCAGAGTGGTCAGAATCGGAGTCGGATGGTTTAACACAGGAGTTAGTTATTTAAGTCAAAGTGGTTGAACTAAATCGTGTCCCCATATACATTCTAACATCTTAGGCGAGAACATCTTAACGGGTTTTACTGTACTATTATAAAATGGCAAAAAAGCTTACTTTGAGGGTAAAGACGAGTTTTATTTTATTTTTTTAAATTTTGAACGCTAATAACGAGTAAAATATTCATTAAGAGATATGACACATGACCACTTTTATGTCTTCACCCTGTCGACCTTTAATTAAGAACCAAAATTTAATAGTATTAATGCCCCTTTATACGCAAGCTACAGTGCCACATTTCGTTTCTTAAACTTTACCCATTCTGAGATATTGTTTAATATCTCAGAACAGAAAATAAAGAAATTAAACAAATTAGACGCCAACACACACGCGCGCGCGAATTTTTCCCCTTTATTGACTTTTTTGAGGGGGTTCGGGAGGTCTCCAAACGTGTGGATTTGCAAAAAAATAAAAAAAAAATAAAAAACTTGGAGGGTCAAATTTGACACGATTCCAATACTTTTCCGTTTTATATACATAACAAGCTGGTAAGTAAATAGGAGTCGGAGTCGGCGGATTTTTTGACGACTCCGACTCCGACTCCTGCTAAAACATCAAAACTCCACGACTCCGACTCCACAGCCCTGATAAATATACAAAATTTAATGCAAAAATCTTTTATAATAAAACCTTTTTAAAGAAGTTACCTTGATTCATCTTGTGATTAATACTATGTCAATAAGATCAATATCTTCAAAATATCTATCTAAAATTAAAAAAGGAATTATTATTATTAAAAATAAAATTATAACTAAATTTTATTTTAAAAATCTTAAAATTATTCATAAAATAAAACTTATTTTCAACAGCAATACTCAAATATTAAATCTGCAATTTGTTTTATCTTCTATTTAATATAATTTTACACTTTTCAATTGATGCATTCACATTAACATACTATTTTATGATATACTCTCAAATTAATTTCTGAATTAGCCAGTATATTGAAGATTATTTACTAATTATCTATACTATATCTATATCTATATATATATAAAAATGGATGTGTTTGTGCCTATACGTCACTCTGCAGCCAAAACTACACATCGCACATGAATGGTGTTTGTGTATGGTAGTAATTCAAAGTCTCCCATCGTGCACTATAGTGGTTGCATCTTAATAGCTATAAGAGTGTGAGAGATATGGGTTTCAAAGTGGTTGACTTCAAAAATGTGTGACGCTTCAATGAGAATGTTCTAGTTTTTTCTAGAAAGTTCCAGAACCTAGAGATGAAATTTGATACATAGTTAGGGTACATCATGAAAACGCACACTAAGAAAGGATTTTTCGAAATTCCCCTTAATTCAAAATTCGAGGGAGGAGCATTAAGGCTTAACCTGAAGAACGGCTTCTACTGTACTATTTTAGATGCAATTTTTTGTTTTTAATTATGTTTAGTCTTCATTGAGAACTTAGTGGTATAAATTGATAACATTTCAGACATTGTTATAAATATTTTCATATTTTCATTTGATTCTCAGCAATTCTCATCATTCTTAGTGGTAGGTGTTAAATAAAAATTACTATGTTTGTTGAAATATTCAATGTAAATAGGGTTTGCTTGCAAAATCTGCACGAGCGAAGCCTCAAGTAACAGCTAGTATAAATATAATTAGTTACTATACTTTTCTGACCGTGTCATTTAATTGAAACTGTAGCTTGCAGAATTTAGAGTCAATGTTTGTTACAATTAACTTTTCTGTATATAATCTTAACAGTAATATAGTTATTAAAATTAAATTATTAAAACTAATTGTATTATTAGCAAGGCTTGTAGATCCTCTGCAATGCAAGATTTATAGGCCTTGATAATAACAGATATTGCCAAGGCATCACTTCTGTTGACTCTGTAATGTGAGGATCTCATAAATGAAAGACATTTTTAAATTGTTAATAAAGCATATATGACATTTAACACAGAAACTAAGATATTCTTTACAGAGGGTTCTATATATTTTAAACCTTAAACTAAAACTATTTTTATTACTGACAATTTTCTTTCATCTTCACAATAACTAAGTCTCAAAATCTGCATTCCTCAACTATCTGAAATTGTGTTTGTTGTGGTGGTTTAACAAGAGTGTAGACAAAAGATTCCCTAATTGTTTTTAGATATCTAACAAGGAGATGGCCAGATGTAATCTCCAATTCATATGAAACTTGGCAAGCATGTAGTTGTAAAAACCAATAGTTCCTTGTCCAAATACTAGGACCCACTTCTGAAGCATTTCCGAAAAATGGGCCTCTGAAAATTGAGTGTTTAGCTTATAAGTCTGGAAGTTATACATATTGTAAGAATGGCAGTAGCCATGTGGATATGATATGATATGTTTAAAAGTGTTAGAAGGCCGAACCTTACGGCATAGCCTTTGAAAAGGAAGGATGAAGAGTTTTAGAGGAAATGAGAAGAGGGAAGAAAAGTAAGGAATGATAGGAAAGTGTGAAGTGGGAACCATGGCGACATCGCGTTCCATTTATTGAGTATACTTTAGTTACAACACATGGGACATAGTCCACAGATAACAGTATGGTCAAAATATATACAGAAAATAAGCCCGCACATGGTACTGCCTCTAGGGAGACAGGGAACGCGAGCAATTGACAGCTATGCACGTGGGCAACCGACACAAGCTGCTGAAAATACCAACCCGGAATGTGCTGGAGTACAAAAGCACAAAGTTACACACGAAA